CAGGCTGTTTTTAACCACATGCTATTGCTCCTCCTGCCTTTGTCCTATCTCAATAAAAGGGGCTCTCAGACCCCCAGTCTGGGGGTTGCTCCATCCCGAGAAAGTTCGTGTCCTGTCTTTTCTCCATATTGGCCTCATGGACGACCCACGGGAACATCACATTTGGTAGCAGAGGATGGTTACGTTACAGGTAACAGCGTTCCGTGTGCCTTTGGTGTTTCGTCATGCCAGCCACATGACCACGGAGACATCTTCGGACAGCGCTGGCTCTTCAGCTTTGAAACGGGGGATGAGCACCGCCCCCTAGAGTCGGGAACGACTAGCACATATGTGCGAGGGGAACCTTTACCTTTTCAAGGTTGCCCATCTGGTTTGAGCTTTAATGGTTGCCAAGCCGTGGTCAGCCAGGGGGTCTTTTCAGAGCAATTCGGGGGCTTACCGATCCACTCCACAGTGGGCTCTGGGCTTCCGGTCACGATGCAGCGAAACTCAGCTGGTTGGCCTGGCTGGACGCTCAGCTGGGTGGGTTCAATGGTGGCGGTGGGCTGGACAGCAGCGGTAGCTGCAGGAGGAAGCAGGTTCAGCTTGGTCAACGTTGGGCAGGGTGGGGGGAAGGCGGCCGCAAGGATTCCAGAGCCAGCCTGAAATCCTTGGCAAGGCTCAAGATCCCTGCTGGAGGATGTGGCTGAGCACACTGCGCGCATGCAGGCAAGAGAATGCGAGGCATGCATGGACAGAAACATGACCAGAAGAACAAGGCCTAGAAAAGGGGGGGGCGGAGGGAGTCTGCCTACCCCCGCCTTGTTGGCCTGTGAGTAAGTAGGGCAATTCAGCATCCCAGAGAAAGGAGGAGGAGGAAGGAAGAAGAGAAGGAGAAAGGAGGTGGGGGGAAGAGGAGGGGGTAGAGAAAGGAGGAGGGATGGGGAGGGAGGAGGAGGAAGGTAAGGAGACGAGGAGGGAAGAGGGGTAGAAAGAGGAATAAGAGGGGAGAGGGAGGAGGCGGGAGGAAGGAGAGAATAGGAGGGAGGGGAAGGAAGAGGAGGAGAAATGAGGAGGGAGTGGAAGGGAGAGGAAGAGGAGGAGGAAGAAAAGGAGAGGAGGAGGGGCCAAGAAGAGAAGAAGGAAGAGGAAAAGGAGGAGGAAGAAGAAAAGGAGGAGGGGGAAAGAGAGAGGAAAAGGAGGGGAGGAGGAAGATGGAGGAGAGGGAAGAGGAGGAAGAAAAGGAGAGAAGGAAGGGGAAAGAAGAGAAGGAGAGGTGTGGAGGAAGAGGTGGAGAAGAGGAGAGAAGGTGGGAAAGAGGAAGAGAAAAGGAGAGGAGGAGGAGGAAAGAAAAGAAGGAGAGAGGTGGAGGAAGAGGAGGAGGTGGAGAAAGGAGGNAAAACTTTTTAATAAAAAAAAAGAATCTCCATGGACAGCAAGCGATAAAGCCATCAGCAGCCAGCAGAGGGAGTTACACGAACAGAGACACACACACTCTCTCTCTCCCCCCCCCCGTGTGTGTGTGCCTGTGTGTGTGTGTCTGTGTGTGTGTGTGTGTAAAAAGTTGAACTCAGGTCGATCCCTCTGACTACATAGACCTGTCCTTGTTGGGGGTGCAGGCCCAGCCCAGAAGTGGTTTTTTTTAACGGCTGCCTTCGGGACGCTTTCTCAACTGCTCAACCCAGCCGAGGCCCCTTAAGGTTGAGGGACGCGGTGGCTCAGCGGCTAAGACGCTGAAAAAGCACAATCAGAAAGGTCGGCGGCTCAGCAGTTCAAATCCCCAGTGCCTCTGGGGCTCCTGGATGGGCCTGGGTCAGCGTACCTTGTGGGCACGACGCATCCGGGCATAATAGATCTCCCCCTGGCAAGCAGGTCAGGGAGGAAAGAAGGAACAAGTAGCAGGAAAGAGAAACAGAGAAGTCAAATAGGGCCAGTGCCTTTCCACACCCCGGCCTCGGTCTTGGGGGGCAGAGGGAGGGGGGAAAGCCCCCCCCCAGTGTGCCACTCCCTGATCCTCATGCACAGTTTAGCCCACTGTGGAGCCCAAGGGGAGAAAAGATATTGATGCTGTCACAACCACGGGATTTTAGGGAAGATGGGTATAAAGGTATTTATAGATACAGTAGCGGCCAAAATTGTGGGAACCTTTTGGGAAAAGTGTAGAGTGTTTTTGAGGTTTCATAGCTATAACAGCACTTTTTTTGGAGGAGTACCCAAAAAATAATAATCAATGGCTAAGACGCTGAGCCTGTCAATAAAAAAAGTCGACCGTTTGGCGGTTCAAATCCCTAGTGCCGCGTAATGGAGTGAGCTCCCGTGACTTGTCCCAGCTTCTGCCAACCAAAAGCACGTAAAAAATGCAAGTGGAGAAATAGGAACCACCTTTGGTGGGAAGGTATTTAGTATTTAGTATTTAGTATTTTATTAATATTTATAGGCCGCCCTTTTCCCCGCGGTAACTGTTGTAATATAGTTGCAGAGCCACGCTGAACCACACAGGAGAAGACAAACTCCTAAAACTCCATAACATCCTGATAGTC